TGTTTATACATGGGTTTTAGAATTCAATTTCTGGACTGAAGGAAGCATTGTCTTCTTTTTTTTGGTACATATAATTTTGTGTTTTGATTGGATTGGTGATATTGTTGAGTGGATAAGTCTTTAGGAGCTGCTAGATACTTCCTTAAGCATCACCCATCAGGTAAACAACAACAACAACATACCCAGTATATTCCCAAACAGGTTGGGATCTGGGGGTCAGTTGTACGCAAACCTTACCCTTGTAATTATACACGGAGGCTGTTTCCGTAGCGACCCAAGGTGCAGTGCGTCGTTTGATATATTTTTTCTAGAAACTTCACTTATAGAAGAAGCACTAGTGAAGTGACAAGGTGAGAAAAAAATATATTGGCATTCTAAAAGTGTAAAGTGTTTCTTACTTTCTTTCCTTAGTCAGTTGCAGCAGAGCCAAACTTTTATCACATCACATGAACAATTAAACAGTGAATGAATTGCAGTAGTTGTGAAGAAGTTCCAGATGTGTGGTCACCTTGTCAGACACTGTGATAGACTGATAGTTACTTGGTTTCACTTGAAATTCATGAAAGGATAGACAGTGACAGAATGAAATGGATGCAAATTCTTGGATGGAGGACATTTGAAACTATGAGTAGGTAATTGGTTTGGCGCAGTTGCCCTAGTATGAAATTGGAACGTCACCGGTTAGACCAGTTAAGGATAAATGTAATTGTGGCAACCAGGATCAAGGGAAGTCCCTTGTATGATGCATGATTTTTGGGCCGTACTGAGATAATTAATATGTTATCCATTGATTATTAACATTTGGGAAATGACTCATTTCTTATCAAGATTATCCACAAACCATTCTCTTCTAGAATGACTATATCTTAGTACCTCTATTGCACTCTAGTGGAAGTATTCCTTGCTAGTCACTTTATTGCTAGTTGCTCAATACTTTGATGTTAACCTCATGTCTTGGGGAGGTGGGGGTGATGGAGTTATTCATGTGCGATTTTTTTTCAAGATTTGTTGGGACTTTAAGAATCCTGGTGTATTTAATTTGGACTTTTTAAGGCTTTTAAAAGTCACAGATTATTCATTTGAGATGTCTAAAGGTCTTAACAAATCACGAAGTATTTAACTTATTTGAAACTGAGATTTACCAGGTCTTGAGTGTGTGCAGTGTATTTCAATTGTGTTGCCATATTTGTTGAATATTAACTTATGAATTTAATTATTTGCTTGTAATGTGTAATATTGTTCATATGCCTACTTGGAAATTTGCTTAGGATTTAGGAAGAGATGTCATATTGTACTGTATTATTTCCAACATATCTAATACATCCGTTACACAACAAGTAGGAGGTGGTAGTGTTTTGCTGAGAACCATTACAATCAAATCGGCAATGAATCCTATAAATTGACTAAAGCAAGAGAATGACTATCAATATCACCTGCATAAGTGAAAGAATTGCATTCACTTGAACGGCTGCAAAGACAACATAGCACAAATTGTGTTTTCCTGCAAATATTCATCAAGTGACATTTGTATTGTAGGACGTGTATAGTCTTTTTAGTAGACATGCGTGTAAGCATTACTATAAGCAAATTATGCAGTTGGTAGAGTTGCCTAATGCCTAGGTAATTTAGGAGGCAAGGTTGCTGAGATTCAATGTTTTTTGCGTATTTGCTTTCGAAAGTGGATCACACAATTTGTTCAATCACCTTGTTGTTTTGAAGTTGATTGATGCTTGATGGGAATTTGTAATGAGCAGTCAAGTAGGCAGTTTTCTCCTACCAATATTTGCGGCCAAATCTGCTCGAGACCATTTTCAAATAAATGAAACTAATTTGTGTACAATTTAGTTGATAGGATGCTAGGATCTTTTCATCACTTATGAACAAAATAATAGTTATTCATCATTATTATTATACAAATAGTGATTCGTATAATTGGTAGGTTGCTAGGATCTTATCATACAAATTGTCTGATTCTTAAATAATTATTATTTTGTTGTAATATTGATGGCTCTAGGATTTTCTTCGTATATTTAATTTATACTTCAGAAAAAAAAATAAGACAAAGTTATTCGATTCTTCTCTTTGCCTTCGAAACGGACTACTTTGATCTTGAACCCACATCATTTTTCTTTCTCATTTTGTGGAAAAAAGTAACAGCAAAGTGCCAACCTTGTACAACTAAGATCTGGAAGAGTTGGCCATGGCTCGTGAATACTCTCATTAGTGAAAATGCTAAGACGTGAATTTTATGTGCAGTTCTCTCTTTTTTCCTTGCTTTTCTGGTAAGAGAGGTTGTTATATAATTGATGATCTTTGTATTTAACCGTCCAACTTATGTGCCTGAAATTTGATTTATAAGTCTGTCCTCAATACGTGATCTGAGTAATTACTTCCATTAGTGTTGTTGTTTTTGCTTTGAACTATTTTCACCTGATTTGAAAATAGGAAGCCAACATGAGTTGTCATTGCTATGCAACTCCATTACACCATAGTTAAAATATAGTTTTTTTTATTGACAGGGTTTATCACCGTATGAGAAGAAGAAATATGTCTGGAAGATGCTTTACATTTACATGCTAGGTTATGATGTTGATTTTGGTCATATGGAAGCCGTGTCTTTAATATCTGCCCCAAAGTATCCTGAAAAGCAGGTATGTCCTACTCCTTATAGAATCACTTTCTTACTTATAACTTGTCCATATGGCTGAGTTTCCTTGCTGATTTACTTCTGCTCATATGGGGCGTTTAAGCAATAACACTTATTTCAAATGATTAATCACTAAAATGGGCTTTCAAGTCTCTTGATTTCTCGCTGTTCAGTGATGATGTTATAAAGGAGTTGAGAAGGGTAGACCTACAGAAGTTTTGTTTACGAAGACTGTCGTGGTTAAGTATCAAGATGCTGTGATAATAGAATGTATTAGTGTTGGATATTTATTGAGTCAATTTACAAGGTTGATACCAATTTCACTGTCATTTTAGAATCATGGTGTTTGTTTATCACATGCAAACTGTTAGAGATTGATTTTTATTTCAATGAAATCATAATTGGGCTTTTCACCCGTTTGCTTAATATCCACTGGGGTTATATTTAGGGTCAGGACTCTATTTTAGTAGACTATCGTTCGATACATAGGATTTGCTTTTGTTGAATGAGATTGTCGGCCTTAGGGTTGGGCTTTCTTCTCGATTCGGCGCTTACGCTGGGACACGATTCTGCTGTTTTTTTTGTTTTCAATATAATTAAATATATTTCAGTCTTATTCTTTCCAAAACACTTCACTCTATCACAAACAAATGATTCTACAGTTGTTGAGCATTATGTCCAGTTGGTCAATGAGTATCTCAACATATGAGCAGTTCATCGTGATGCTTAAAGAAGATTATATTAATTTTTAAGTAATATTTTAATAGTTCCAGTTAGGTGTTCTTAATGCTGTTAGTAGCAGAATAATCTGAGAGATGTAAGGTTATGTGGCCAAGGGACAAGGAAAAAGGGAAAAGGTAAAACTTCAGTTTGTTATGATACTTGTAGATGGACAAGCAAGGAAGTACTGGTCGTACTGTATTTAGTATTTAACGAATATTTACTTTTTTCTGGCAGGTGTACCATGTCATAACTACTAGTACTATTTAGTGTTCTTGCTCTTATCATTATAATTAGGAACCTCATTGAATAAGTCCCATGATTTTTATAGGTCTGCAAGACAATAGTTGCCCAAATGCGTATAATGAATTGTTGTTCATAACCAAAGATCATTAAGGAATGCTTGTAATCTGTGATAAGGAGGATGAAGTTTTTCTGAATGTTCTTGAGAGGATAATAAGTTAGTAACCTCAGTTCTGGAGTTAAATTTCTCATCTCCTATCCTCATTTTCATTCATGAATATGATTTTAAATTAATATGCTAGTAAACATGCCATTTTTTTTTATCTTAGGAATCAATAGGAATATTTTTGAAGTAGTATTTTGACCAGCTTTTGCTCAATGAACGCATTGGTAGCAACGTCGTCTTTAGAAGTTTTAATGTTATTATTTTTCATGTGTTCACTGGTTTTGTATTGCTTTGACTTGTCACAGGTTGGCTATATAGTGACATCTTCTCTTCTCAATGAGAATCATGATTTTCTGAGATTAGCTATTAATACCGTGCGCAACGACATCATTGGTCGCAATGAGACTTTCCAGTGTCTTGCTCTGACATTGGTATGATTTTGGTCTATATTTCATTTCAAATGCTTTATGGAAAGTTCGTATAGACATATTGGTTTACATAATGATTTGGATGTTATGTATGAGTCAGTTTATTTATCTTTGATACATGCTTCCTAATATGGTTTCTCTATTGTCTTCCTCTCTATAATTCAATCTTTTCGTATGTCTGCAGGTTGGGAATATTGGTGGGAGGGAATTTGCTGAATCTCTTGCTCCTGATGTTCAAAAGTTACTTGTAAGTGAATACAATTCTAGTAATAAGTTGGACAACTAATAAGTGATGCTCTGATGATTATTGTTTTTCCAGATTTCTAGTAGTTGCAGACCTCTTGTGAGGAAGAAGGCTGCTCTATGTCTCCTTCGTCTTTATAGAAAAAATCCTGATGTGGTGAATGTAGATGGCTGGTATAGTGTCTCTCTGCCTTTTGTCTTAGTTTTATAAAGTGCGTTAACATCTAATACTGTTACTGTTCACCTTTTTTGCAGGTCAGATAGGATGGCGCAGCTGTTAGATGAACGTGATTTGGGTGTTTTGACTTCCTCAATGAGTCTTCTTGTTGCTTTAGTGTCCAACAACCACGAGGCCTACTGGAGTTGTCTACCAAAGTGTGTTAAAATTTTGGAAAGGCTTGCCAGAAATCAAGATGTGCCACAAGAATATACTTATTATGGTATTCCGTCTCCCTGGCTTCAGGTTTGTGCTCATCTTGGTACAACCTATCTTAAATTTGTATGACACTTGTATATCCTATCTTTTTTCCTTGGGTAGCCACTTGAGTGAAGCATATAATGTCGTGATTACATTTTGCAAATTGTGATTGATATTCTTGTTGAGGGAAGAGACTCCTGAGGTGCTGCTGTTAGATACTTATTTGTAGTCTCTCCCTCATTTTTCTCTGAACATGTTGGAGATAATTTGACTTGACAGAATATTTAGTACTTCAGTGTGATATTTATGTAAACTGAAACTCACGATGTCTCTTCCGCTGCAGGTTAAGACAATGAGGGCTCTTCAGTATTTTCCAACCGTTGAAGATCCAAATACTAGAAGATCATTGTTTGAGGTTTGAGTTTACATGTAGTTTTCTGGGACTTGGGAGATTTATTGACTAATCCTTTCACATGTTAATGTGCGAGGGCATCTATTTCACTGATATCTTTTGATTTTTATTCCTAACTTGTCTGTTTTTGGCTATCAGGTTCTGCAAAGAATATTAATGGGGACTGATGTTGTGAAGAATGTGAACAAGAACAATGCATCACATGCTGTACTTTTTGAAGCTCTTGCTCTTGTAAGTTTATCTCTCCTAAATGGTTTAATCTGAACCTGGTACATATTTTACATGCTTCAAGGAAATTAAGTTTGTATGGTTTTCATGTGTTTTTCATCCATATTGGTTATGAAACTCTTACGTAATGCAGCAGGAAAAAGGTAAGACATTTCCGTATTAGATGAAAAAACTGGATGCTTTGGGGTTTGGGCAAGATCTGCTTTCTGATTTCTTTTCTTTCTTACCTTTTTTCTTTTTTTTTTTTAATATTATTTGGTTGATTGGTTGGGTGGCGGTGGTGATGGTTTGCTGTAGGCAGCTGTGATGCATAGTTATAAAAGGCAAATGGCGAAAGGTGGTGATTTGCTCATGGCCTGGCTTCGTGGCGTGAGGCGAGGTCATGGTGTCGCCTCATGAACATGTCACAGTTAGGAAATACAAAACAATAAATTATACAAAACATATTTAAGTGCAGATTGCAAAATCATCTTGAGAAATCCTAATCACACAACTACAGAAGTCATTAACGTGTAGCAATTACAAAAGACGAAACTTAGACACGAATCAACAAAAATATGAATCAATGTTTTGACAATGAGGGTATTGTCGGATTATTTCTTATTCCTTTTTTTTTTTTTTGCCTGGTTTTGTATCAAGACATCCACGCATTTTCAATAATGCCAAGACAAGATTCTGTATCAGCTTTCTGATGATGCTTATCTGTCCAAATTGGATTGCTGTACTATAGCCTTGTCTTTTTAGAATTCTTGTGTCATTTTTCGGTATGCAAAGGTAGGTAATTTTGGCATTAACCAAATCTACTGAAACATCTCCAGACCATGTGGCACTCCATACTTGTGTGTTACTTGATCTGATCATCAATTAAGTAGGCCAAATGGAATGCTGTGTTAACATTTCTATTATTTGAGTGTTGTTGAACTTTTATGACTAGCAGCGATGTTAAGTGATTTTAGCTAAGTGAAATCTCATGTGTATATAGACTTAAATGCTGTATTTGACGTACTTCTCAGTTATATAACATATGCCTCCAAAACACTTCATCTCTCTGAAATGGTAAATATCATCCAATCTCTCCCTTTTTCTAGAAAATATAAAATAAGAACAAATTAATGGATACACATATAAGAGACTGTTCGGTATATTGGAAATACTATTGGGGCTGTGTAGGCTCAAAAGAATTATATAGTATCCTCACGAGTAAGTTTAATTGTAATACAATTCTCTGATTGCAGGTCATGCATCTTGATGCTGAGAAAGAAATGATGTCTCAGTGTGTTGCATTGCTTGGTAAATTTATCGCTGTTCGTGAACCTAATATTCGATACCTCGGTTTGGTGAGTCTTTAGTCCATCATCAACTATAAATTGTTTTCAACCTCTCCAGTCTCTTGTTTCAACATTTTGTCTATTGCTGCATCTTATATAGTTGTACGTCTGTGAAATTTCTCTGCTTTGTCTAATTGACATGCCACTGGTTCCTCAAAACCACATTTTCTAATGAAAATGCTTGCTAAGATCAGTGTTGATGGGATGCAGGAAAACATGACTCGTATGTTGATGGTCACAGACGTCCACGAGATTATCAAAAGACATCAAGCTCAGATCATTACGTCCCTGAAGGATCCTGATATCAGGTGTACTATTGCTACTAAATGCTCTTTCAAGGCTTAGATTAACTGCTCAGTTATCATGTGTTGGGCGTAAACAGATGAATTTGTTTTACAAATTTGTTGCATCATGTCATTAGCATGTTGAATGATCTCTCCATTTGGATTTTACTAAAACTCAATATAAGTAAGAAGTTAGGGAACTCATCTTTGTTTTAGTGTCCGTTGAGTGTAATATTTTTATCTGTATTTTACTTGCAATGATTTCTTTTGGGTCTCTCTGTTTTGGAGTTATCTATAAATGTCCACTTTAAAAATCCCGTGCTCTTGATTTCAACTATATATTTCGGTACCTTGAATTTGGTTCTCAATCACATGCCCCAACAGTATCAGAAGACGTGCCCTTGATTTGCTATACGGCATGTGTGATGTTTCAAATGCAAAGGACATTGTTGAAGAATTGTTACAGGTTCACACTAACTTATAGTCTTGTCTTCCACTTGATAATTTTAGTTGCTGCTAAACAAATAATTGGCTTCCATGGACTGCCATTTGTTTCAGTATCTCAGCTCGGCTGACTTTGCAATGCGGGAAGAATTGTCACTTAAAGCTGCTATTCTTGCAGAGAAGTTCGCCCCTGACTTATCATGGTATAAAATATGTTCGATGAATTACGTTGACTTGTACTTATTTGTTTTTATTACAAGGTTTACTTGAAATGCTTTTTGAGGAGCTGGTAAATGAATGATTTAGAAAATCATGAGAGATCTCTCAAGTAATCATACATGAATGAGAACGTTGATATGTTGTAATATCCTTTCCAGTAATATTTTATTCAGTCGTTTTAGTGTTTTATTAAATAACCCTTCTCACATCTTGGCTTATATCTACTATGTACTGAATATTATCCATATGGATCTCATTTGTTTAAATATTATGTGGGTGCACCTCGGATGTGTTTTATGTGCTCAACCTGCTATTTATATTGTAATCATCAATGCTTTAAGATGGATGCATCAAAACCATTTTAACATAAGAAGGTATTAATGATTTGTTGTTGGGTGATGAATGGTATCTTTCAAAATCACTGGACAGCCTACTTCTCGAATATTAAACTGTTCATTTAGTAATACCCCTGAACAGATGAATTCTGCTTAATAATAAACTATAGTATAGTACAATAGTTACACTTTCTCAGGCACATTTGATGCCTTTGATTATCTGTTTTTTTTTTTT